ATGCGAATTTGATAGCCTTAAGATGAAGGAGACAGAGACAGTTGAGGAATATTACACGAAAGTAATTGTGTTGGTAAATCAGATGAGACTGAATGGTGAGAGTATTAATGATAGACGAATTGTAGAGAAAATACTTCGTAGCCTTACACGCAAGTTTGAATATGTGGTGGTTGCCATAGAAGAATCAAAGGACTTGGAAGAMTTCTCTCTGGAAACATTATTAGGGACCCTGCAATCCCATGAATTACGCATGAAACAGTTCGACACTACAGTRATGGAACATGCCTTTCAAGCACAGTCTTCGTGGGAAGCAGGCWCAAGTGACAGGCAAAAGACAGTGGATGCACATAGAGAAGATCAGAATTATACAGTCTCCAAAGGCAAAGGAAAAGGTAGACCATTCTCTCAAATTAAATGTTATTATTGTGATAAATTAGGACACACAATTAAAGTTTGTAGAAAAAGGTTGGCTGAAGAAAATAGAGCATCAAACTTTATGCACAAAGAAGACGGTCATACTGATGGCACAATGTTTATGATGCTTAATATGCAAGAACCCACTCTTAGTGAACTTTGGTATTTAGACAGTGGTTKTAGCAACCACATGACAGGAAACAAAGAATTGTTTCTTACTTTAGAAGAGTCAGAAAAGAAGGATGTAAGGACTGGAGATGATAAAAAATTAAGTGTGCAGGGAAATGGAGATATTGCCATCAAAATTAAGGATAAGGATAAAAAAAAATTTAAACGTGTTTTATGTTCACGACCTTAAACATAATCTGTTGAGTGTTGGACAACTTATTCAAAAGGGGTATGGTTTACACTTTAAGGATGGATTATGTGAGATAACTGATTCTAACAAATCAGTGATTGGAAGGGTAGTTATGAACACTAATAAAATGTTTCCAATAAAATTTGATGATGAAATCTTTTTCTCCTTATATGTTAGTACGAAAGAAGCTTCACTCCTTTGGCATAAAAGGTTTGGACATGTAAACCTCAACACCTTGACTCATATGTACAAAAATGAACTTGTAAAAGGTTTACCTTTAGTTGGCCCTTTGTCTCATGTCTGTGAAAGCTGTGCACTGGGTAAGCAATCTAGAGCATCATTTCCTCATAACAACACATGGAGAGCAACAAAACAGTTGGAACTTGTCCATACGGATATATGTGGTCCCATGAAAACCCCATCCTTTGGAGGAAGTAAGTATTTTTTAACCTTCATTGATGACTTTAGTAGAAGAATCTGGATATATTTCTTGAAAGAAAAGTCAGAAGCATTTGCATGCTTTCTTACCTTCAAGGCAATGGTTGAAAATCAGAGTGACTTCAAAATTGAAAATTTAAGGTCTGACAGGGGAGGTGAATATATTGGTCACGATTTTGAGGATTATCTAAGGAGTAATGGCATACACCATCAACTTACAACTGCCTACACACCCCAGCAGAATGGGGTGGCAGAAAGAAAAAATAGAACCATAGTTGAGATGGCAATGTGCATGTTAAAAGGCAAACAACTACCTAATATCTTTTGGGCAGAAGCAGTATCCTGTGTTGTTTATTTAATTAATAGTCCTACACAAAAAGCCTTACTGATAAGACCCCACAGGAAGCTTGGAATGGTTTCAAGCCTAGTGTCAACCACTTTAGAATCTTTGGTAGTATTGCCTATGCACACATACCAAAACAAAAAATGAGTAAGCTTGATGACAAATCTGAAAAAACAATCTTTGTAGGGTATAGCTATAATACCAAGGCCTACAAATTGTACAACCCTTTGACCAAGAAAGTAATCCCAAGCAGAGATGTGATCTTTGATGAAGAAAGTACTTGGAAAGGTTTGACATGTGACAATGATGGGAGTTGTAGTCTAGTTGATAAGTCATATGAGGATGACAAAAATACCCCTACTGAGCATAATGAACCCGAACGTATTGAACATGCTACACCTATGAGAGATTCCTCTCTCAATTAAGAAAATACAACTCCTGGAAGCACCTTATCTTCAAATGGATCAAATAGAAAAACCAGAAACTTGATTGATCTCTATGAAAGTACTCAACCAATCAACATAGATCTCTTAGCTAATTTTGCTTTGTTCTCTAATGCAGACCCTTTAAAGTTTGAAGATGCTTACAAAGATCAAAAGTGGAGAGATGCGATGGACAGTGAGATGAATTCCATACTCAAAAATAATACATGGGAGATAGTTGAATTACCAAAAGGACAAAAGTCAATTGGAGTAAGATGGATCTACAAAACCAAATATAATGAGAAGGGTGAAATAGATAAACACAAGGCAAGACTTGTGGTTAAAGAGTATAAACAACAGTATGTCATCAACTATCAAGAAGTTTTTGCCCCTGTGATCAGATTAGAAACTATTCGGTTGATTTTGGCTATAGCTGCTCAATTCAATTGGCCTGTGCACCAAATGGACGTAAAATCAGCCTTCTTGAATGGATATCTGGAAGAGGATATTTTCATTGAGCAACCTGATGGTTACAAACGCAAAGGAGAAGAGCATAAGGTGTGCCATTTAAAGAAAGCTCTTTATGGGCTTAAACAAGCCCCTAGAGCTTGGTATAGTAGAATAGAAAGACATTTCTTCGATCATGGGTTCCAGAAATGTAATCATGAACATACCTTATTCATCAAAAAGGAAGGTTACTCTACACTTCTGGTATGTATTTATGTAGATGATATCGTGTTCACAGGGAGCTCCATAGAATTAGTTTCTGAGTTTAAAGAATCAATGAAAAAGAATTTTGAAATGACTGACTTGGGTCTGCTTCATTACTTCTTGGGAATAGAGGCCTCACAAGGTAAGCATTCCATCTCGATATCACAAAAGAAATATGCTAAKGATCTCTTAGTAAGGTKTAACATGGATGATTGTCTGTCTGCTGCCACTCCTATGGAATCAAGATTAAAACTTTCTGCAGGAAGCGGTGAAAGATCGATTGATTCAACATTATATCGAAGTCTTGTTGGYTGTCTTATGTATCTTACTRCAACAAGACCCGATATAATGTATGCTGTCAGTATGCTTAGTAGGTACATKGAGGATCMAAAATCAGGACACTGGGAAGCCGCAAAGAGGGTACTGAGATACATAAAAGGTACGMTTGATCATGGAATCACTTACTCTTGTTCCTCCTCTTTCAAGTTAATTGGTTATAGTGATAGTGACTTTGGAGGGTGCTTTGAAGATAGYAGAAGTACAACAGGATATATATTCTGTTTGGGTACAGGGGCAATCTCATGGCAATCGAAAAAGCAAAAGGTGGTGGCTTTRTCGTCCACAGAAGCAGAATACATGGCTCTTTCTTCCACTGGTTGTCAAGCTCTGTGGTTGAGAGGTATCTTGGAAGAATTAAGCTTTCCACAAGAACTTCCAACACAGATTTATTGTRATAATAAATCTGCGATTGCTCTTACCAGGAATCCAGTCTACCATGGCAAAAGWAAACATATAAGAATTAAATTCCATTTTATTCGTGAGCTGATTCAACATGAAGAAGTTGATGTAGTGTTTTGTTCTTCAAGGGATCAAATGGCAGATATCTTTACCAAATCACTACAGCAGGGCATATTTGTGAAACTAAAGAAGGATTTGAAGGTTGGTGATGTTTAGCTTAAGGGAGGGTGTTAAATTATAAGCCAAATCATCATCAAATCAGTTTGACTGTTAGTTGACCGTTAAGTTGGATGGCAGTTATGGGTTTCCCGCCAAAACAGCTTCTGAACAGTGGTGTCCCCTCTAACAGTTGCAACGTTTCAGTGTTTGTGTGTTTTAGTATTTAAGTGTTTTGTATCTCTGTTTTTCATTTGTGAACAGTTTTCTAAAAATCAAGTGTCTTTGTAATATTCTAAATGTTCTTCAATAAAGAACCTGTTTGTGTTGTGTATATGTTATTTCCATCAGATTCTAGTAACGACCATAGAAATTAACCTACTAATTGCATTAAAATTTAGACAACATCAATCCTAACTAACGGTCAGAAGCATGACCATTTAAGCTAGATTAAACAATTACGGTTTCTCGAATTCAAGTTCAAAATTGGTTCAAGAGATTTAAGGGATCCTTCTTAAGCCCAAGAACCCTAAAATGAAGAATCTATACTACATTATAAAGGAGATTCCATAAAAGTCTTAAATACAAAATCTAATGCATTTGGTACTACCTTATAATGCATAAAGTCTTAAAGTCTTAAAAACAAGTTTAGAAGCCTAAAGTACAACTCAAAGCTTCAAATTATCACTACTATGTTGATTTAGGTTACCAGACACACTTCCAGACACGCTTTCAAGCACGCTCATCATTCCCGATTCAAGCACGCTCATCATTCCCGATTCAAGCACGCTCACATGCTCGATTGCAGGTTTCCAAGACGCCGATTGAGGCTCCAAGACGACGATTGAGGCCTCCAAGACTACGATTGAAGCCTCCAACACGCTCGATTGCAAGGTCTTAGTTCTGGCTCCTTTCGATTCATACCTCCACATCCCAATTCTTCTTCAATTCACTGCTGTAATCCGATATTGATTTTGTGGGTTTGAGAAGTTCAGACCCGTCTCCCCAAATTATTCAACTGTTCGTAATCGATTTCCGATAGTTACAGGTATGACCTTGACCTTTTTATTGTGAATTTGTGGGTTTGATTCCGTATACATGTGGGTTGCTTTTCTTTTGATTAATTAATGAAGTTACGATTTTGGATTGATTCTGAATGTTATCTTTCATTCTTTTGGATTCAGTTCTAGGGTTTGAGATTGTAAATTGTAAGAAATTCTAGCTGAAAATGACGATTGGGTCTGAAAAGCCTRTGAAAGAGAAGAGATYAAGAAAGAGTAAACAWGTRGTTGTTGTTGATGAGAAATCRCCATTGTTACCCACCAAGAAAGGTGAAGATGGAGGTTTTGATGAGTTCAATGGAGCTTCATTTACTGGTGCAGTGTTTAATTTATCAACCACAATTGTGGGTGCTGGAATTATGGCTTTGCCTGCAACTATGAAAGTATTAGGGCTTATACCCGGAATTGCTTTGATTATCTTTATGGCGTTCTTGACGAATGCCTCGATCGATCTTTTACTTCGATTCAGTAGGGCTGGGAAATCGATTTCTTATGGAGGTGTTATGGAGGATGCTTTTGGAAGAATTGGTAGAATGTTGTTGCAAGTATGTGTGTTGGTTAACAACATTTGTGTTCTTGTTTTCTACATGATTATCATCGGTATGGCTCGATTGATTCGTAAGTTTTCCTTCATATTTATTTGGGTATTTGTTAATTTTTGAGATTATATGAGATCTTGAATATGTGAAGAATTTGATTTTGATTTGGGTTTGTGTTCTTTAGGTGATGTGCTTTCTGGAACAACTTCAGATGGGATTCACCATGCTGGTGTTTTACAAGGGTGGTTTGGTGAACATTGGTGGAATGGTCGTTTTTTCGTTCTTCTTGTAACCACCCTCGGGGTATTTGCGCCGTTAGCCAGTCTAAAGCAGATAGGTTAGTCTTTGTGGAAGAATAACTTAGCTTCAATGAATCTGAACTTGAGTACTACATCCATATCAAAATATAAAAACTAAAAGCAATTATATCCTTGAAGTGATCATCCATATTTGTATTAGTTGTGATGATGTTGAACTTTTTGTATTGAGATGAAATCAGAAAGAAAAGAAGGTTGGTTGCAATTAGATTTGGTAAATGGTTGGTTGAGTTAGTTGCTACTGTTTTTAACAWTCTRWTTATCTTAGAATTRAATTGTTTGAAGTTTGTCAGATRAGTGGGCATGTGCTGTGGCTTAACAGAAGAGTCTGACCTTTCTGACAGTGAAACTGGGCAGTGGTTGCAGACTTGAAGCAGCAAAGGTTTCCACTTTGTGAACAACAGGGTATGGACTAAACATCAGACCCAATCCCCCTGTCAACTCTAACCATTGCTAATATTTCTCTATTCTATATGTAACGAATAAATTTTGTGAGCTCAATGTTACAACCATGAATTTATTATGTCTTCTTGTTATAGCTTTCTTTGCCCCTGTTTTGACCATTCTTTGATATCTAAATTTTTTTCGTGCGTAAGCTTTCATGATTAGATTGTGTCTTGTATGTAGGTTTTGCTGTGTAGCATTCTCCTGATCCATTTGGTGAAACTATCCTGGCCACAACCTCTTATTGCTCCCTTTTACCTCTTAAAGTTGTGGCCAAATAGAGAGGTCGCATATTGATTTAGGAAACAATGTGTTATTGAGTCTGTATTGTTATAGCTTTCTTTGCCCCTGTTTTGACCATTCTTTGATATCTAAAATTTTCTCGTGCATAAGCTTTCATGATTAGTTTGTTTCTTGTATGTAGGTTTTGTTGATACCAATGTGTGTGGTTCAAATATCTAGATTATCGTTCTGGTTTTTCTATATTTTTTATGATTGTTTTGTTTAGCATTATGGATTTTCTTTGTTGCCTTGGGCTCATCTATGTTTCCCTTGCTGTATGATGCACATTATGTTGGTTTTCTTTGGTGGACATGGTCACCCTTTAATATGGTTTGCCGTAGAGTGCGTGTGTCAATTGTTGAAGATATTTTGGTCTATCTGTTTTTATGAATTCTTCTATCCTCTCATTTTATTTCATTTCGTCCTTGGGTGTTTTTGGTACTTCTATATCTTTTTTCTTCTTAGGTAAATCAGATGTGGAAGGGTAGTTGTTTTTCTGCAGGTTCTGATCTAACTGAAGAAGATAGCTAGCGAATCGTTGGCACATGCATTTTCCTCCTTGACACTATTCTTTTAACCTCTCATTTCGGAATTGCCATTGTATGTAAGCTTGCATGATGAGATTGTGCTTTGTTTGTAGGTTCGTTTGGTGCCAAACACCGTGGTTCAATTATTGCAGTCATGATGTGTGCTGGTTCTATATAATCCTTGTGATTAACGCATTTTGATTTCTACATCTTCCATCATCTTAAAGACCTCTTTTGCTTATTTGCTAATAGGTCTACAAAAGCGCATTCAGGTCAACTGGACCATTGTCTTTCCTGGTTTGGCTGTTTACACTAATGCATCTTGAATTGTATCTATATTACCTTATAAAACGAATTTAAGAAGTGTCTTAAAAACAGTTGCTAAAGTTAGGATGCTACTTACATACAAGCTTGGTACTGGTTTGGTCATGGCTCGAAGGGCAGAAGGTTCATGGTCTGCACCTTCTACAATAATTTCAGCTGGTCTAGGACAGGGTCCTCAGGTATAACTACCAAGTGCATTGTCTTTATCGATAATGTTGTTCGCCTTTTTCTTTGGGATAATTTTGCTTATATAATATACATGTCCTTGTAGTATGGTCTGTGGGAACAGAGAGGAGTTTCCACAATGTGTAGTTGTTGGGAATCAAGAACAATTATATATGTAGTGCCATTTCATTGATTGATTAAGTTTTATAGTTGTTATTGACTAAATAGAGTTTGATGTACATTCTGTTTCAATAATTAGTGATGGGATCATAAATGGCTATCTTATGTTTTAATAACCTCTCAAGTCCCACTCCCATCTTGCATAAACAATGGTAAAACAACCTTGAATAATGCTAAAACAATCTTGGATGTTGTGGAATGCATAAGGGAATTTGTAGACTCCTTGGATAGTTTGGTATGGATGTTTTCACGGCGGCTGTTAAAGTGGAGATTGGACTATGGTGCAGTTGATCTAGAGGCGGTAGGTATTGATTTTTGCTCATTTTGATTAATTAGGATATTGGTTTCTATTTCGATTTGTATAAGATAATTTATTTGTTTTTCAAATGTATTCACTAGAAATTTGTTTCTTCCTTTATTATAATTATTTGGACAACATAATTGATTTTCATGCGTGTGTACAATAAAGTTCACCTCGATTTCTTATTTGTTACATTGTACTTAATTACATCCTGTTGCATCGGATGGGTACTCAACTAATAGGAATCGAGGTTTAAATATTTCTAAGGTTTCCTTAAAAGATCGAATGTTTAAATATAACTTTTGTACTTTTTAAAGAATAATTGCACTAATTTTTAGTTGTAGATTTATTAGAAAATTTGACATTCTGCCGCATTGCGCGGGCACACAACTAGTAATTAAAAATAGAGATTGCATAAATGGGTATTCAGAAGAAATTAAAACATAAACCAAGTCTCAATATAGTTCAAACTTCAAAGTAAACTACTTACTGTTAGAAATAAGTTAGACATATGACAGTTACAATTATGTTAGTTTTTTGTCTGACAGTTATTTCTAATAGGTACATCGTTTGATGAAAGGTTGTGTCTGTTCATTATGTATATATATGTTGGATAATATCCATTGTACATTGGAGTTGTTGGTGTTAAAAAGAAATTACTGTTATAGCAGACTCCCTTTCTTATGCATGTGCAGAAACTGCAGAAAAGTTTCTGCAGATTACTTTTGTTCATTTCAAACGTTCAACGTATACTTGATGTTTCTTCTCTTTGACTCCAACAAAGTGGTATCAGAGCCTATGGTTCTTGGTTCTTTGTGTTCGAGATTTGAAGAACTATGCAGTAAAGTTGAATATGAAAAGGTGATTGGAAAAGTGATCTTTCAATATCATTTACATAACTATATATACAAAGGAGATGCACAATTACAGGAGATAAATAAGGTAAATTACAACAATCATTGACTAAACTATAATTGGAATATATGYTGAATTAATGATAAKGGYTAACTAATTATGTATAATATTATTATTGCTAATACGCCCCCGCAAGATGGAGGTTCCGTCAGAAACGCCAATCTTGGATCTTAAGTGCAAGAAAGGAGCCCGGGAGAGCGGTTTAGTGAGAGCATCCGCTAGTTGATCTTTAGTGTTGATATGATGAACTCGAAGAGTACCGGCAGCCACCTTTTCACGAACGAAATGATAATCTAAGGCCACATGCTTCATTCGTGAATGATACACTGGATTAGCACACAAATACGTAGCACCGATATTATCGCAATAAAGGAGAGGTGAGATCGGTATTGAGATACCAAGCTCTTTGAGAAGATTTTCGACCCATGCAAGTTCGGCGGCGGCATTTGCAAGCGCTTTATATTCAGCTTCGGTGGAGGAGCGCGAAACCGATTTTTGACGAGCAGACTTCCATGAGATAATATTGCCGCCGAGATAAATGACATAAGCAGTTGTGGAACGGCCAGCGGAGGACACACCCCCCCAATCAGAATCGGAGAAGGCAGTGAGCTCAAGAGGTGAGTGTTTGCGTAAGAAAAGCCCATGATAAATAGTTCCCTTGAGGTACCGTAGCAAGCGTTTGAGAGCCTGCCAATGTGTTTGAGTGGGTTGATGCATGAATTGAGACAGTTTATTTACCGCAAAGGAGATATCCGGACGAGTAAAGGCAAGATATTACAGCGAACCTACAAGCTTTCGATATGGCGTCGGGTCAACTTTGGGTGTCCCGTCCTCGAGAGTTAACATCTGTGAGGAACATAAAGGTGTCTGAACAACCTTTGCGCCATCCATTTTATGCATTGTTAGGAGATCATGGATGTGGCGGTGCTGCGAAAGGAACAGGCCATGCGTGGTGGGTATGAGTTCAACACCCAAAAAGTGACTAGGAGACCCTAAGTCTTTTAGAGAGAAGCGAGAGGAGAGGCGCTGAACAAAGGTATTGACAAACGCATCGTTGTTGCTTGTCAAGATTATGTCGTCGACATAGACTAAAAAATAASAAGTGAYCCCATCGYGATTGTAGATAAARAGCGAGGCATCCGCATGGGATTTRAGAAAACCAAACTCGACCAAGAAGGCGGTGAGAGCCATATACCAAGCACGTGGTGCTTGTTTGAGTCCGTATAGGGATCGACGGAGCTTGCACACGTGTGTTGGGAATTGTTGATTGACATACCCGGGAGGTTGTATCATAAAAACTTCCTCTTGCAAGTGCTCGTGTAAGAATGCATTGTTGACATCTAATTGGCGGGAGGACCAACCTCGAGATAAGGCTAGAGCAAGAACGGTGCGAATGGTAACCGGTTTTGTCACCGGGCTAAAAGTGTCGAAGTAATCCTTGYCGTATTCTTGCAAAAAACCTTTYGCAACAAGACGGGCCTTGTACTTAGCGATGCTCCCGTCGGGATGGYGTTTGACCCGGAAAACCCATTTGCACCCAATTGGTGGACGAGAKGTAGGAGCCACTAGTTCCCAAGTTTGATTTYGGAGTAGAGCRTTGTATTCAGCATCCATCGCCTTGCGCCAAAGTGGGTCTTTAGACGCTTGTAGGTGGGTAGTGGGTTCAAGGGAGTGCGGAATRGGATGAACGGTGGTGGTATTAACAAACTGAGGATTGAAGTATTTAGGATTTGGCTTCCTGTTTCGAGGAGGCAAGGGAGGGGTGGACGTAGAGGTAGTGGATGACGGGGTTGTTGGGACGGGTGAATCAGGTTCGTTGGAGAGAGGGGAGTGAGAGCGGGTGGAGGTGGAAGGCGAGTGAGAAGGAGGGGACGGTGGGATAGGTGATTCGGTGAAGGGGTTAGAAGGTGGAGGAGAGGCATTGGACGATGCATGGGGGGTTGATGGAGTTGATGAAATGGGGGGTTGGGCAGAAGGTGACGAGGCAGTAGGATGGGGTGAGGTAGTAGAATGGGGGGAAGGGGAAATAGGGAGGGATTTAAGGAATGCATCAGTGGTGGGTAGAGGTAGTGGGTTGGGAAGGATCCCTTTGGAAGGAAATTCATTCTCAACAAATGAGACATGGCGAGAATGATAGAGACGATGTGTTGTAGGATCGAGACATTTGTAAGCGGATTTGGCCATAGAGTAACCAAGAAATATACACGGTTGGGATTTTGGTTGAAGTTTAGATGTAACATACGGTTTGAGCCATGGGTAGCACAGACACCCAAACGTTTTGAGTTTGGTATAGTTTGGAGTCATACGGTARAGTATGTGATASGGAGATTTTGATTGGAGAATCGGTGTGGGTAGGCGATTGATAAGGTAAACCGTCGTTTGAAAGGCATGAGACCAAAATGTGAGTGGTAGACCGGCATAATGCAAGAGTGCAAGGCCGGTTTCCACAATGTGACGATGTCGCCTCTCCGCGATCCCATTTTGTTCGGGTGTGTGCGGAGGAGTTGTGAAGTRGGAGATGCCCATGGATTGTAAGAATGGTAGAAGACCCACGTATTCACCACCGTTGTYGRTGAAAATGGAGATAATMGRGGTTKGGAAAAAWWWYTCCACAARTAGTTTATATTGAGGAAAAATWGTTGAGACATCAGACTTGCGTTTGAGGGGATAAAGCCACACATATTTGGAATAGTAGTCAACAAACACAACATAATATGTGAACCCGTCAATGGATTGTTGAACGRGTCCCYAAACGTCCGAGTAAATAAGTTCTAAYGGTTTAGTGGCCACAAATGAATTTGGTCCAAATGGCAACTTGTGACATTTATTCATAGAACAAGATTGACAATGAAAGGTAGAACTTGACAAGGACTTAAAGTTAAGACCGAGGTCTTTACAAAGAAGTTGAAAAATACGAAATGACGGATGTCCAAGCCGATGATGCCATTGGAGAGGCAAGGTTGAGGTGATTGCATTCACTTGAGGAGATGAGGGTGAAGAGTTGAGGTAGTACACATCATTGATGTTCTCCCCCCGCATGATAGACGCCCCCGTGTTGAGATCCTTTACAACGAAATGAAGAGGAAAGAATTCAACGGAAACGTGATTAGTACGACACAGTTTTGCAACAGAAATKAGATTAGTACGCATGCTAGGAACACATAGAACATCACGTAAAGATAATGATTTAGTTTTATTGAAAAAACTAGTAGAACCAAGATGTGTGATGGTTAARCCAGTACCATCACCAAGGCGGATTTCATCGGGACCTCCGTAGTCGGAGACGGAGGTGAGAGTAGCCGGACAGGAGGAGAGATGGTGGGAAGCACCGCTGTCCATCATCCACATTGAGTTTGCTGGAGCAGACGTGGCTAGGTTAGCAATCGGGTTGGACGGGTTGTTTGTTAACATGACTCGATTGTCTTTGAGAAACTTAACAAG